AGGCGCGCCACCACCCTATTTGTCCTGCGGATCACCGCCGCAGATGTCAGTCGCCGGGTCACAGCCGCTCCTTAGCGGCTGTGTTCCGGCGATCGGCGGCAAACAGTGACAGAGAGCACAGCTGCAGTAGCTGTGCTGTCTGTCACTTTCTTGTCAGCTCGAGGATGAGCTGATCGAGAAAGAACAGTTTATCTTTCTCGATCAGCCTTGTCCCGCCCAGTACACACCCCCGCCCCCTAGTAAAACACTCCCCTCACTCCTATAACCCTTCCCTGCAAAATAAAGTTAACCCCTTCCTCCCCATTGCCATTAGTACAGTGTCAGTTTTTTTTTTTTTTTGCACTGATCACTGTATTAGTGTTTTTGGGGGATGTCAGTGACCCCAAGTCAGTACCCCCCAATGTCAAAATGTCCGCCGCAGTCCCGCAGTCCCGCCATAAGTCGCTGGTCGCTGCCATAAGTCCCTGATTGCCGCTATAATTCGCTGATCGCCGCCATTATTAGTATAAAAAAAAAAAACTAAAAAATCCCAGTATCTTTCCCGCCATTTGTAAACGCTATAACTTTCACGTAAACCAATTAATTTACACGTATTGTTTTTTTTTTTAGCAAAAATATGTCACAGAATGCATTTTGGCAGACATTTATGACTATTGATTTTTGCATTTTTTTTTTACTGGACATGTTTTATAGCAAAAACTCCAAAATATTGTTTTTTTTTCCTCAAAATTGTCAGCCTTTTTTTTATAGCGCAAAAAATAAAAACTGCACAGGCGATCAAATACCACCGAAAGAAAGCTCAATTTGTGGGGAAAAAAAGGATGTAAATTTAATTTATGTACCATATTGCATGACCGCGCAATTGTCCGTTAAACTAGCGCAGCGCTGTATAGCAGAAAAATGGCGTAAATTGCAGTATTTATACCATAGTTTGTAGACGCTATAACTTCCACAAAAAGCAATCAATATACACTTATTGGGATTTTTTTACCAAAAACATGTAGCAGAATACATTTTGGCCTAAATTTATAACCAACTTTGAGTTTATAGCCTTTTTTTGTTTATAGCGTGAAAAATAAAAAGTGCACAGGTGATCAAATTACACTGAAAGAAAGCTCTATTAGTGTGGAAAAAAAGGGCGTAAATTTCACCTGGGTGCAGCATTGCATTGCATGACCGCACAATTATCAGTTGAATTAGTGCAGCGCCAAGTAGCAAAAAGAGGCCTGGTCATTAAGGGGGGTAAATCCTCTGGAGCTCAAGTGGTTAACTCAATGAATAAACTCACATGTTGAGGAAGTCCGATGAGGAAACCCATTTGAATGTTCCATTTAATGGCGAATATTCATAGGTAGAAAAACTTTAATGTTGTAGCCTCATGGAAAATGCATTCAGGAAGACAGGATACAGTGAAATGATTACAGAGAGAGGCAGGGGGGAGGAGTATACACAGGTACGGTGAGAGAAAGAGCTCAGCTTAGGCAGAAGGAGACAACTTAAAGACACAGAGCAATAATAAACAAGTAATGGTCACAGAGGAATAATAATACATCAAATAGTGAAACACAACAATTGCTGTTTCATTGTACTATATTCAGCTGTACTTTATTCAGTGGAAGTACTAAATAAAGAAATATTAAAAATAGATCTCTGTGAGGCTTGGATGAATTTGTACAATGGAACCATTTATGATGAAGATTGTGATATATGGATATCAACTAGTATAAGTCTGACATAATCTGTTCATTTTACCTGTTTTGCATAAGGCTGTGCAAAGAGAAATTGTATTAGTTTTTTACTTTCTGTATTCCCGTATGAATAATGCTGTAGTTAACCACACATCTTCTCTAGGCCCCACCTAGGTCACATGGCTTGGTAGCATGGCTTTAGCACCTGAGTTTTGCATTATTTTTGGTGTTTCTTCACTATTTTTTCCTGCAGGCTAACATTGCATGAGTATGTACACAGCAATATTGTGAAACTGTTGTGCTTTCATTTACAAAGTTATCTCCCTCTGATGAAATGTTACAATTTATTTTCATACCTGAGCTCAGAGGAGAACATTTTCACATTGATACATTGTATACTTTTCACTTTCTGGCCAGTGCAGAGTTCCTCTAATTATTATTTTGTACATTTCTGAAATACCACCAGCAAACACTTGGTGGTAAATAACAAATGTGTGTATTTTATAATGAATTGACTTTAATGATTTATCTCATGTTTTTTTTGTGGAATTTATCTCACTATTTTAACAAATGTGTGGTATTTACCTCATATTCAATATTTTACTTTGATGAATTGACTTATTTCATGCAATATTTCTGAAAAAATGAGTCACGTGACCTTCATATCACATGCGGTAATCTTTAGTGAATTGACCCCAAAGACACCCCATAATAACAAAAAAAAAAGCAAAAAATAGGTTGTTTATGCAAAGAGCTAGAAACCAGATTTAACCACTAGCCTACTGAGCACCTTTACCCCCTTCCTGCCCAGGCCAATTTTCAGCTTTCAGTGCTCTCATACTTTGAATAGCAATTGTGCGGTCATGCAACACTGTACCCAAACTAAATTTGTATTATTTTTTTTTAGACAAATAGTTTTCTTTTGGTGGTATTTAATCACCACTGGGATTTTTATTTTTTGCTAAACAAACAAAAAAAGACCAAAAAGTTTGAAAAAAGGTTTTTCTTAGTTTTTGTTATAAAGTTTTGCAAAAAAAGTGATTTTTTCTCCTTCACTGACATGTGCTGAAGAGGCTGCTCTGATGGACACTGATGAGGCTGCATTGATAGGTGGCACTGATAGCCAGCATAGATAGGCACGGATTTATTTTTTTTTTAAGTCCGCGGAAGTGCGAAAAATGAAAACCCATAAGTGAACAAAAAACGTGCTAGTGCAAAACCAACACAAAAAAGTGCACTTAGGGGTGTGCTTTGTCCACCCCCGAAGGGGTAGGACCTTTACCCTGATCCCCCGGGCACGAAGCTCCTGACGGGGATTAAGGTTCCCATATGGTCCTCCTAGCCAAAAGGCCTGGTGGATCCCTTTCCTTGTGGCTAGCCTAAGCCAGCCACCAAGTACTAGGTAAGGGGGCTCTCCCGAAGAGAAAACCCCCTAGGGACAGGGGAGGAAGGAACCAAAAGGCCACACATCCTCCCCCAGACTTCTGAGTAGGCCCAAGGACCCCACACCCTACCATCCGTGAGAAAAGAAAACACACACATAAGTGAAAGTGAACAAACGTGGAAGAAAAATAAGTTAAATAAATAAAAAATAAAAAAGTGACTGTGCAATTGTGCACTGGCTAGGCCCTGAGGCCTATAGCATAAAAATTGCCCTGGAGTTAGCCAAAGGCCTAGCCCCAAAAGGCGCAGTGCAGAAAAAGTGTTTTGGATCAGTGACTATGTGCACGTTTGTCAGGAATGGACTTGCCAGTAATGGTGGGACTCACCTGCCTTGTGGGCTGCAGTACAAGGGCTGGCCAGCGGGTGCTCCCAGCAATCAGAGACTCAACCCTGCAGCCAGCCAAACACCTGAAGTTGGTTATGCAGGTGTATTTAAGGGATGGCCAGACCTGCAGTCTCTGCCTTGGTGTGTGTTTTTCCTGGGCCCTGTATCTTGTTCCTGCATCCCTGTCCCTGTTCCTGTTCCTGTCCCTGTCTGATTCGTTGCTGACCCTGCCTGATCCGAACCTCTGCTGACTTCTCCTGTTTTATCCCTGGCTTGTGACCCCGACCATTCTCTGCCTGACCCCTGTACCTACCTGCCCGATTGTTATTGACCCGGCCTGCCTGACTACGCTTGCATTGTATGTACTGTTATCTGTGGGTGGTTTGGTTTGGTTCGTTTGCACTGTGTTATGTTTTAGTATTGCACTGCGTTTATGTTTGTATTGTTAGTCTTTAATAAATTATATTGTTTATAACTTATCTGAAGCCTGCGTTTCCCTGCGTCAGTCACATACCTCTGGTCACACCCTGGAGCCCTGACATTACACCAAGGCCAATCCTGACCAGAAGTGGCTGCACAGGGAAGCCATCTTGGCTTGTTGCTGGGAAGGATGGATCTTGAGGTTGTGTATTTGTCGCTGCTGGTTTTTGATGACAGAGAATATGCTTATCAGACTCTGAGGGAGTATACCCGGATCAACTGCTAGAATGTATACGGATCGCTCATGTTCTAGTAGATCAGGGCACAGAATTCTCTGAGGTGCAGCCATTGATTCAGGTTTGTGCTGAGTTGGTTTCATCTGGTACCCCCGAATGCAGGGATGAATTTTTGCCGCCATTTAGTGCCGACCAGGTAGAGTCCCTGGTATGGTTATTAGAGGATGATGTGGATTGCTTCTTGGAGCATTATGCTGCATGTTCACCACAGGTATTAAGGGATTGTATAAACACAGTGCAGTCTTTGACCAGACAGGCTATGTGTAAGCTGAGCTTTGTTCAACCCATACTGCAGACATGGTCAGACTTGTTGCACCCAGCCTCAGTCAGCTTGCAACGTCATTCCTCCACTCAAGGCACTCTTCCTGCATCCCCGACAGCACCCCCAGTGACTGCCCAGTATACTCTAACTACCACATACCAGTCCTCTGCTCCCACTCACTGCACCTATCCTTTCTTTAACCTTGTAAAGAAGTCCTCTGTAGCAACTGCTCCCTCCTCTGTTCCATCTTCCAGCTCTTCTCTATCCTCAGCTGCTCCATTCATTTGCAGACCTGCGTTTACTTGCAGTGCCCCAGTAGTTAAAACCAGAAAAAAGCGGAAATTCTTTCCACCAGTACCATCTTGTACCATCCTGCCAGTATCCAAACCGGTGAGCCTGCCGTCTGAGAACCTGCCTTCCGTGGTTCAGTTCCCTGGTGCCTCGGCACCCGCACTTTCAGCCTGATGTCTGTACCCAGCCTAATGCCTGTAATGGTCTGTACCCAGCCTGATGATCCTATCACGCCTGATGACCCAGTGCCTGCTGTCGAGCCAGACGATCCGGTACCTGATGACCCGGTGCCCACTGTCATGCCTGTTGACCCGATGCCCGCTGTCGAGCCAGATGATCCAATGCCTGATGACCCAGTGCCTGCAGTCATACCTGGTGACCCGATGCCCGCTGTCGAGCCAGACGATCCAATGCCTGATGACCCAGTGCCCGCTGTCATGCCTGGTGACCCGATGCCCGCTGTCGAGCCAGACGATCCAGCGCCAGATGACCCGGTGCCCGTCGCCCTGCCTGGGGGCCCGATGCCTGTCGCTCCGCCTGGGGGCCCGATGCCTGTCGCCCCTCCTGGGGGCCCGGTGCCTGTCGCCCCTCCTGGTGGCCCGGTGCCCGCCGCTCTGCCTGGGGGCCCGGCGCCCGGCGCCCCGCCTGGGGGCCCGATGCCCGTCGCTCCGCCTGGTGGCCCAGTGCATGCTGCTCCGTCTGGTGGCCTGGCGCCCGCCGCTCCGCCTGGTGGCCCGGTGCCTGCTGCTCCGCCTGGTGATCCGGTGTCCAGCTCGATGTGCCTCTGCCCGGAGTCCAGCTCGATATGCCTCTGCCCGGAGTCCTGCCCGGAGTCCTGCCCGATGTGCCGCTGCCCGGAGTCCTGCCCGATGTGCCGCTGCCCGGAGTCCTGCCCGATGTGCCGCTGCCCGGAGTCCTGCCCGATGTGCCGCTGCCCGGAGTCCTGCCCGATGTGCCTCTGCCCAGTGTGCCGCTGCCCGGAGTCCAGCCCGATGTGCCGCTGCCCAGAGTCCTGCCCGATGTGCCAGTCTTTGATATCCCGCCAGTTACCAGACCCAGGCGGTGGAACATTTTGCCCAGCTAGGACTGTTTGGAGCGTCCTGAGGCCGCTCCTTGAGGGGGGGGGGGGGGGGGGTACTGTCAGGAATGGACTTGCCAGTAATGGTGGGACTCACCTGCCTTGTGGGCTGCAGTACCAGGGCTGGCCAGCGGGTGCTCCCAGCAATCAGAGACTCAACCCTGCAGCCAGCCAAACACCTGAAGTTGATTATGCAGGTGTATTTAAGGGATGGCCAGACCTGCAGTCTCTGCCTTGGTGTGTGTTTTTCCTGGGCCCTGTATCTTGTTCCTGCATCTCTGTTACTGTTCCTGTCCCTGTCTGATTCGTTGCTGACCCTGCCTGATCCGGACCTCTGCTGACTTCTCCTGTTTTATCCCTGGCTTGTGACCCCGACCATTCTCTGCCTGACCCCCTGTACCTACCTGCCCAATTGTTATTGACCCGGCCTGCCTGACTACGCTTGCATTGTATGTACTGTTATCTGTGGGTGGTTTGGTTTGGTTCGTTTGCACTGTGTTATGTTTTAGTATTGCACTGCGTTTATGTTTGTATTGTTAGTCTTTAATAAATTATATTGTTTATAACTTATCTGAAGCCTGCGTTTCCCTGCGTCAGTCACATACCTCTGGTCACACCCTGGAGCCCTGACAACGTTTCACACTTGGGATCCCATCCCCATGTGTTACTAAGAGCACCCCTGAGGCGACCACTGAGGGGCACTGTTCCACGGACTTTCTACCTCCCCGGCCCCTGGCCTGACAAGGTAGGTCCGTTTAAACCAGGAGGAACTGGGCCCCTCTGGTTTTCCAGGGGGAATTACTCCCAGGCCCCAACTGCCTGTGGGCACCTCGGTTTCTGTTCCAGCCTGTACTGACCATCAGGACCCCCATCCTACCAGCAGGGGTACTATACAACCAATCATCCCCACATAGATAGGCACTGATGGCACTACACTGATCAGAGCACTGATGATCAGTTTAGATGTCCCCCTGAGAAATGCTGCTTCCTGGCTCTCTTCTCCTCACACATTTTCAACGTGTGGAGAGGACTGCCGATAACTGACATTTCCTATTTACACTGTGATCAGCAGTGACTCTTTACTTGGGCACGACCTACGGACACAGCGATCATAGATTGTGCACGATGCGTGTACCAGGGGGCATGCGGGGGGTATGGTTCTGAGAGGACATCCATAGATGCCCTCCCAGAACTAGCCTTTTGGCTATAGCGTGGTCAGGAACTGGTTAAATTACAGTTTCATAACTGACCCCAGTGACTTCCTATGCAGATTGACAGCTTTCTCTACAACAGCTTCAATACAGTGCTTTGTGTATTGAGGGACTGGCTTATCTGTGGGTGCCATTTTTTTCCCTTCTATGGTTCAAAGGCCATGCCATACTTTACAACTTAACTACCTGAGTCCCCAGTGCCATTTTAAAACAGCACTGCGAATCTGTGGATTCTGCAAGTCCCAGTGGGAGTTGAGATTGGCAAGACCAGCTGGCTGTGCCAACCAGCATCCATCCCTAAGCCCAGGACCTGGAAGTATCCTCTCCTTGGCTTCTGATGCTTGTATAGATCACTACATAGAAGTTATAGGTTATTTATAAAAATGCAAATACTTTATCGGGGTACTTTCTCCCTGTACTGTGATGCAGCACATGAAGACACCACATATCAATACAGTCCAATCACAAAATAAATTGTATTCACTCAGTGGTATGATGCCTAATGGGTTACGTGGAATAAAGTATCCCTATACCACTACACAGGCGTGTGCTGCAGAAATGGATGTAAACACTGTTCATCCACATATTGGGGTGATGCTGCCATGCCAGTGTGGAGGCTCCAGCAGAACTCTTGCAGTCTGTCCAGCCTTGCCAAACAGCAGTAGAACACTACTATAGTGATCTGCTGTTGCATAGCCACATAGAGGTCTGGATGTGGTCTCCTCTGATGAAATGACAAAATGTAAAAAAAAAAAAAAAAAAATTGTAAAAAAAAAATGTAAGGGAAAAAAAAATAAATAAATAAATATATATATATATATATATACATACACACACACACACTAAATTTTTCCCTCCAAAAATGAATCCCCTGTTCCTAACAATGATGTCTGGATTATATTTGCATTCACTGCACAGGCATCAAATACTCACATAAGTGAACGCTATGTCATTTGAATTTTTTGCAGTCGCAAATCTACAAAAAAAAAGTGCAGTCTTGTTCCAATGCTTAGTCAATGCAAGATAATCTTAATGTTACGATAACAAGTTATGCATAACTGCGTACATCACGATGTAGCACTGAAAGGAGAATAAAGCTCTCCTAAAGTACAACACATATGCTCACTTTGAACTTTTCCATCCTGCTGCATTACACAAAAGTCACACTAATGTGTTATTTTAATCAGCAAACTTTGATGATTATATTTTAGGATAAAAACACTGCTCAAAAAAATGAAAGGAACACTTTGAAAACACATCAGATCTCAATAGGTAAAAATATCATGCTGGATATCTATACTGATATGGACTGGGTAATGTGTTAGGAACATAAGGATGCCCCATTGTTTGATGGAAATAAAAATTATCAACCTGCAGAGGACTGAATTCAAAGACACATGAAAATTAAAGTGAAAAAAAATTATGCAGCAGGCTAATCCATTTTGCTAAAATTTCATTGCAGCAACTCAAAATGGTACTCAGTAGTTTGTATGGCCCCCACGTGCTTGTATGCATGCCTGACAATGCCGGGGCATGCTCCTAATGAGACAACAAATGGTGTCCTGGGGTATTTCCTCTCAGATCTGAACCAGGGCATCACTGAGCTCCTGGACAGTCTGCGGTGCAACCTGGTGTCATCGGATGAACCAAAACATGATATCCCAGAAGTGTTCTATTGCATTTAGGTCAGTCCAGGCGAGCGTGGGGGCCATTCAATGGTATCAATTCCTTCATCCTCTAGGAATGGCCTGCATAGTCCCGTCACATGAGGCTGGGCATTGTCATCCACCAGGAAGAATCCAGGACCCACTGCACCAGCGTAGGGTCTGACAATGGGTCCAAGGATTTCATCCCGATACCTAATGGCAGTCAGGGTGCCATTGTCTAGCCTGTAGAGGTCTGTGTGTCCCTTCATGGATATGCCTCCCCAGACCATCACTGACCCACCACTAAAACGGTCATGCTGAACAATGTTACAGGCAGCATAACATTCTCCATGGCTTCTCCACTCTTTCACATCTGTCACATGTGCTCAGGGTTAACCTGCTCTCATCTGTGAAAAGCACAGAGCGCCAATGGCGGACCTGCAAATTGTGGTGTTCAATGGCAAATGCCAACCGAGCTCTCTAGTGCCAGGCAGTGAGCACAGGGCCCACTAGAAGACATCGGGCCGCCAGTCCACCCTCATGAAGTCTGTTTCTGATTGTTTGGTCAGAGACATACACACCAGTGGCCTGCTGGAGATCATTTTGTAGGGCTCTGGCAGTGCTCATCCTGTTCCTCCTTGCACAAAGGAGCAGATACTGGTCCTGGTGATGGGTTAAGGACCTACTATGGCCCTGTCCAACTCTCCTAGAGTAACTGCCTGACTCCTGAAATCTCCTTCATGTCCTTGAGACTGTGCTGGGAGACACAGCAAACCTTCTGGCAATGATACATATTGATGTGCCATCATGGAGGAGTTCAACTGCCTATGCAACCTCTGTAGGGTCCAGGTATCGCCTCATGCTACCAGTAGTGACACTGACCCTAGACAAATGCAAAACTAGTGAAAAACAGTCAGAAAAAGATGAGTAGGAAAAAAATGTCACTTATAAAACCATTCCTGTTTTGGGGGTCGTCTCATTGTTGCCCATCTAGTGCACCTGTTGTTAATTTCATTAACACCAAAGAAGCTGAAACTGATTAACAGTTTTTTTTTGAACAGTGTATATGGAAATGTGCAAAGTAAATTAATATTGTTTGGGGAAAAAAATTACAAAAATAATGCAATTTACATTTTTTTTATTACGATTTATTCACAAAAAAGCAAGAAAATAAAAATATGTGATCACATTTGCCACCAAATAAAGTCCTGTCTGTCATTCCAAAAAACAAAGTATAATAGATTAGGGTAGACTACAAACCTAAAATATATTATGTACAGAACTGAGACATTTCCAAAATTTTTTAAAAATCTCTGGGACCCAGAAGGAGAAAACACTCTGGAGAAACCAAGTAGTTGATATCTATCCATTATTAAACTGATAAGAGGGATGGGTAGATCTCATCGCCTGAAGATACTGCAAAGTAGGCAGATATTCCAAGGGGAGACCTGTACCCATTCAAAAAATTCTTCCCATACTTAGTGAAAAACCAGGTGTCTACCCAGCTTGTTTTTTAATTATTTATGGTGCTTATATAGCGTTGTCAATTTACGCAGCGCTCTACATACATATATTGTACATTCACATCAGTCCCCAACCCTTAAGGGATGTACAAGCTAAGGTCCCTAACTCACATTCATACATACACATACTAGGGACAATTTAGACAGGAACCACCAGCAGGGGTGGACTGACAACTCATGGGGCCCCCCGGGCAATAGGGGATCATGGGGTGTGTCCTCACCCACACCCAAAATGAAAAAGCCAATGAAAGGTACTAGGGGCATCTCATGGGGCCCCCTACTGACCTCGGGCAGTGCCCGAGTGCTCAAATGGTCAGTCCGCCCCTGCCCACCAGCATGTCTTTGGAGTGTTGCTGGAAAGCAGAGTACCCGGAGGAAACCCACACAGGCATGGAGAGAATATGCTATATTCCTTACTCATTCGTTTTAAGACTGTATTTCTCAACCTTCTTCCAGTCA